CCGCGCCCCCCCCCCCGCCGAGCCCTTCCGCTGGGAGCAGCCACCTTCAGAGCGGAGAGGGCAGGGGCCGAGGCTGAAGTTGGTGCCTTTTCCCGGTTCCTTTTCAAAAGCTCATCTTTACACAGGGAAAGGTTGTTAGCAAAGAGTTAGACGTGGCTAAAGAGTTCGTCAGAAATGAAGATTGACTAATAAGAAAATGGAAAAGAAGCTCATTTATGGAGCCCTGAGATTAGGCTGGGGTCATGGGGTACATTCCTCCTCAGGGCGCCCCAGCCCACGAGCCTGCACCACCGGAAAAAATCTGAGCAGGGCGGTGTCTGGCCCAAAGCTCAGTACATTTTTCATAATACATTTCGGATGAACTTCTAGCTTTTTAGCATGTCCGAACAACCTTTTTGTTGTGTAAAGATTAGCTTTGAGAAAGGGGCCGGGAAGAAAGACCCAACTTCAGCTTCGTGCCTTCCAAGCCCTTCAGCAGAGAACAGAAACTGGGTTTCAGATGGAAATTCTAGATGCCTTGGTTTCCAAGCCCTTCAGCTGAAAGCAGAAACCCCCACCACACCCTAAAGGTGTGGACTCTCCATCAGTGGAGGGATAGGTCTGGGAGGATCTATAGCAGCCACTCTGATTCTCAGCTGGGGGGGGGGGGGGGGGGGGGCCGTGGGGGGGTCCCCAGTTACAGACGTGTAGGTTGTAGCCGTGTTGGTCTAAGGACATGGGCAGACAAGGTTCCTCGGGTGAACCTGATATCTTTGATTAGACCTGACAAAGGGTTTTTGAACCCGAAAGCTTGCTTAATAATTATTTTCCAACTATTTGGGTTGGTCTAATAAAAGATATCAGATTCACCCAAGGAACCTTGTCTGCCTCAAGATTCACCATGGTGTTAGCCCTGCAAGGCTTACACAAGCAGGACGTGTAAAAGTAAACCTGAAGATTGCCAATAAAAATCTGTGCTGTTAAGATTTCTTGCAGTCTTTCTGAGCCCTTGGCAACAGAAGGATTGCTCCCTTATTTTTCTGTAGTCAAAAAAGAAGTGAAAAGTAAGAGCTGGCATTTTCTGAGGGTCGAATGAGGAAGTCTAAAAAAAGCTTGAGAACCCCTGGCTATGTTCTGCTGTGGGTTTTTCCCATGCTTCTGGGCTTTCCTGGTTACCGTGTGCAGCTGGGAGGGGATTTTTTTCCCCTCCTGCTACTACATGCATCAGGGTTTTTCTTTTAAGACTTTCTCAGAATCATTGGGTATTGGCTACAGCTACAGCCACAGCTGGAGATTTTGACTAGGACATGCCAGTGCTTCTGCTGGGATTTAAACCCAGAGGTTCCTGGTTAGAGAGTCCTGCCCCTTGGCTCTGGGTCAGACCAATCATCATATTTGGGGTCAGGAAGGAATTTTACCCTGTGGTCAGATGGATGTAGACTGTGGGCATTTTTGTCTTCCTTTGCAGTGGGGGGGGGATGGCCCTCTACCTAGGATGTCTGGAGCATATTTTAACAACCTTTCCACTAGGAGGATGTTGGCTACGATGGTCCCCCTGCTCTGCCTGTGTGTAGCATATTAGGGTGCTGTCTTGCTTTTTGTCAGGGTTGATGGTATAGTTTTGTTAACCAGTTAGACAATGGATTTCTATAGGATAGTTTGGATCGGGATGATCCCTGCCTCAGACAGGGGGTTAGACTAGATCAGGAGTGTCAAACTCATCCTGGGCCCGAGGCCAGATCTGGATTATGGAAGTTCCTCCTGGACCAGATCTGCAGAGCCAGCAGCAGCTGCGATGGGTCTGAGTCTAATGGCACGGTAGGGGGAGTGGGCAGCAGTATGGATCCCGACAGGCAGCACTGGGGCAAGCGAGTGCTGTATCTCCCTATCCTGCTCCCCGATCTATAACGTATTTTGAAAAGCATGAATTCCACAAGAGCTTCTGGCTTCTCAGGATACTTTGGTGACAAAGTGTGAAGCAGCAATAATAATATAAGAGTATTATTTAGAGTGCCTTTAATTTTAAAGGATTTGGTTCCTGGGGATCAGGACTTTCATCAGGAATATTACCTGTTTTGTCCCTGTGAAAAACTACTGACAGTTAATCAAGGTTAAAGGCTCTTGCAGTTTGCATGTGCTCTGCAGAGATGACTTTGATTTTAGCGAACAAATTCCTCAAAGATTCCATCTGGGCTAGGCAGATACTAGCCCCTGGCTGAGTAAGGCTTGCCCTAAACTAGAAGCTCAGATCTGTTGTGAGCCATGCCTTGTCAGGTGTGGGTCTGGGCACCCAAGCTGGGAGCAGGGAGACCATTTCTCCAGTGCCCTTCCTGATGGATCTATGTGGAGTAAGGGAGGAAGCCAATAGATTCAAACGCAGAGGAGACAAGACTTGGATGTGCAGAAGAGGCAAAGTAGATTGGAACAAGGAGCCCACCATGACAGACGGAGAAGCAGAAACTGGGGTGAGAGGCTGGAAGGTGAAAGAGGGAAACTATAACTGTTTTGTGGGGAGACTGGGAGCAAGAGAAGGACAAAAGAAAAACTAGGAGGCACTAGGTGGATGGCAGAGTAAAAGAAAATGAGGAGCCAGGCAACTATCTGAATAAGGAGAGTAGGATGAGAGGCCTAAGGAGTGAAGACTTGTCCTGAGCTGGTGAGGAGAATGGGACCAGGAAGCAAGGACTGTGATGAGACACGGCTGAGACAGGGGGAGAGGCAGGACAAAACTAGTTATTCTAGGGCAGTGGTTCTCAACCTCTTTAGACTCAAGGCACCCCTGGATAGATTTGAGGACCCCTTGGAAGATGCCAGCTTTTAACTTGCAATCTGTTGCAAACAACTCAGAAAGACCACAACTATGAATATCTAGTGGAAATCTCTGGGTTTATCTTGTGAATCATATTTGTAAACCTAACAGTGCTAACTTTGTATGGTACTCCATGGCATCCTTGAAGGATCTCAAGGCACCCTGGGATTCTGCAGTACCCTGGTTGAGAATCATTGTCCTAGGGGGAAGAGGTGGAAGAATCTGTGGGTGCGGAACAGCCCCACTTCCAGATTCTGGACCTGAGCATAGGGTCCTTGAGTCTCACAATCCCTCTGCTGTCATCAGATATCTGTGAAACACCCTGGCAAAGTGTCCCATCCCCCACTGGTGCTGGTCCACACAGAGGATAACAAGCTACCACTGCTATCAGTTACTTGATTAGCTCAAGTGGATGAAGTCTCTGTGATTCAAAGGTACCAAACCTGCTGATGACATTATGTCATGTTATTGAATGTTTAGGGATTTTTTTCAGTTTGCTTTTTTTTTTTTATTAAGCAAGCAGTTGCCCAGACTTACACAGAACATGAAGCAGAGAGGTCCAACAGAAGTCAATTCTACACAGCTTTCATCCAGCCCCAGAGCTGGCCCATACTGTGCACTAAAAGATGCAGCAGTTTTGAATGAAAAATGGGATGTGATTGTGTAATTAAAAATGTACAGGCAACCTTAATCCTGGCATTTCCTATTTAATCCATGACTTTACGATCTTCATAATCATACAATCATAGAAAATTAGGATTGAAAGGGCCCTCAGGAGATCATTTAGTCCAACCTCCTGCTCAAAGCAGGACCAGCCCCAACTAGATCATTCAAGCCAAGGCTTGGTCCAGCTGGGTCTTGAAAACCTCCAAGGATGGAGATTCCACCACTTCTCTGAGTAGCCTGTTCCAGTGTTTTACTACCCACCCAGTGAGAAAATTCTTCCTAATATCTAACCTAAACTTCCCTTGCTGCAACTTGAGACTTGCTGTTTGTTCTTTCATCTCCCACCACTGAGAACAGTCTAGCTCCATCCTCTTTCAAACCCCCTTTCGGGTAGTTGAAAGCTGCTATTAAATCCCCCTTCAGTCATCTCTTCTCTAGACTAAATAAGTCCAGCTCCCTCAGCCTCTCCTCATAAGTCATGTCCCCCAGCACCTGAACCATTTTTGTTGCCCCTGCTGGACTCTCTTCAATTTATGCACATCCTTTCTGTAGTGGGGGGCCCAAAACTGTGGCCTCACCAGTGCTGAACAGAGGGGAATAATCACTTTCCTTGACCTGCTAACAATGTTCCTACTGATGCAGCCCAGTATGCCATTAGCCTTCTTTGCAACAAGGGCACACTGCTGGCTCATATTCAGCTTATTTTCTGCTGTAACCCCCAGGTCCTTTTCTGCAGAGCTGCTGCCCAGCCAGTCAGCCCCCAGCCTGTACCGGTGCATGGGATTGTTCCATCCAAAGTGCAGGACTTTGCACTTGTCTTTATTGAGCCTCATGAGATCTCTTTTGGCCCAATCCTTCAATTTGTCTAGTCACTCTGAATCCTAGCCCTACCCTCCAGCGTATCTACTACTCCCCACAGCTTGGTGTCATCTGCAAACTTGCTGAGGGTCCACTCTATGCCATCTTCCAGGTCATTGATGAAGACATTGAACAAAACTGACCCCAGGACTTACCCCTAGGGCATGCCACTTGATACCTGCTGCCAGCTGGACATCAAGCCGTTGATTACTACTCTCTGAGTCCAGTGCTCCAGCTAGTTTTCATCTTACAGTCCATTCATCCTATACTTCCTTAGCTTGCCTGCGAGAATGTTATAGGAGACAGTATCAAAAGCTTTGCTAAAATGAAGGTATTCCACATCCACCAATCTTCCCCTCATCCACAGTCAGTCACCTCATC